TGTGGTCTTGAAAATGTCAAAAAAATGTAGTTCAAAATATTAAGACAGATCAGGAGGGTATGCTAGATGCGATGCTAAAAGGTATATGAAATGATCATAAGTAAGAAAACGTTGCCCTTAGCTTTGGAATGAATTTTGCGCCTTGTCTCCTTGTGCGGCTGTGTGTAAAAAGTATCCAGAATTTAGTTGAGTTAACTAAATCGCTTCAAGGTTTCTATCAGTCGGCAAACGTATACAGCTGAACAGGTAAAGCGAGGCAACAAGTTAGCAACAAGTATTTTTGAAAAAAAAAAACATCAAATTCTATGAATACCCTACACCGGTAGTGGTATAAGGATAAATTAGGTTTGAAGCAGACCCACACTTTATTATATCAATCGATTTTGAATCATTTTCCACATGGATCTAAGCTTGTCTGTCCGTGGAATATTGTGTTCAATCTGCAGGTCTCGAATTTTTGAGATATTTTGTTGAAATTCGGCAGGTACATCATCATGTTTTGCCCCAAGGATCAGCTCTACTGAAAATAACTCCGATCGGAACACTTCTTTGAGCAGTGCGCCCCAGTACGTAACACAGTATTTTGAAAAATCGTCTAAGATAAAACGGATCTAAGGCATTTTACGCTAGACCCTGGTCTACTGCAACGTTCTTGCTTGTTTTCTTTTACGCAAAACACTTGCACAGTTTTTTAGCTAATGTCGACGTGTCGTGCAACTGCTTGCATCCCTCTAATGAATGTGAAGTGTCTTTTAAATAGCATTAAATTCAATAATTAAAAAAAAAAAAATTTTGTTTTTGTTTGCATCTATTATCGGAAGAATTTCCGATTTCACCGAATTTTCAAATTCATTTTGCCTTGTGATCACGTTAATGAATATCGTATACTTATGTATATTGGATTTATGAAAACTACACAAAAATATGTTTTCCATATTTCTCTGTTTCATCGAAGAAGCCTCAAAGTATTATTTTCAAAAATAAAAAAAAAAATGCATATCCAGATAATCCAATAACCCAATTAGTGCACCACTGAAATCGTAATCGGCTTGAAGCAATGTTTGGAATTGAGAGGAATACTAGTATCGTCTACGACGCGAGGCTAAATTAATACATTTATGCTATTTAAAGAACAGTGGCTGGGCCTGAAATTAACCTGACTTGTATTGCGAATGTTTTATTCGAGCAATGGGCAAGCCAAGCAATTCCATTCAAACTTGTTTGGATTTTGGAAAACTTATACATACACATATATATGGAAAAATGGCAGTAAAATAAAGCGAATCTTTATAAAAGTTACAAAGTATATATAGTTAAATGTGGGCGTGTCAGCTGGTCGACAAAAATTATTTTTTACATCGACCTATACGAAGTATTTGCTTTGCATTACAGTTTTTGCCTAATGGTGACGGAGCGGTGTTCGATAGGCTATGATCATTTTTAATTTTTCCACCTATGGCCAGCAAATGAGTGCATACACATGCCAGGCTTCAAGCTTTTTATTTCAAATTTTTCCGCCTATAACCGTTCCAAGAATAAACGATGAACGGACGGATTAATAAGCGAATGGGTCAAAGTCGACTTACAGTCTTACGTGAAGTGCATACAATTTATGATTTTTCTGATTCAGCGCGGAAAGAACGGGGGCTGGGGGGAAGATATCCTCGTACTTTGATGATGCATTTGAAAATAATGAACATAGTCAGGATCACTATGTACACTATGTAAAGTGCATACTAACTGCATTGTAAGTTTAATTTATCGCGCAGCGTGTTTATAAGTTAAAATATAATAAAAGCACTGCAAAGTAATAACATTTGATGTTTTCATCAGATCATCTGACATTCATTGCGAAGTGTTGCAACGGTTTAGTGATTGGATGATAATTTTGAATTCTTAGCTCGTATGCATTCCCAGCTCTGAATATTGGATATGCTTTATATTATTGTGCGAGCCTCCTTTTTTTCTAATCTTAGTGGGAAAAGGATACGTAAACAGTTGACATATATATATATATATATATATATATATATATATATAAGAAGTGAGAAGGAGTGATGATGGAAAATTTCTACATCATCTACCAGCCATGCCGAAAAGTTTAGGTCAGAATCCATTAAGATTTCTTTGATGATTCGTCAAAATTGCAATATAGAAATAGTAGAGCAAGTCTCATATGTTTTTTATGCACCGCATACGCTCAAGCACCAGATGGTACTATTTTATGCCACTGCTTTCTTCTGACAATCTATCCTAAGCATTTAACCTAAATCTCATTTCGCATTCCCATTTCATAATATATGGCAGATCATAACCAATATAACGAACGACTAGTTTTAGCAAGAAATGATTAAATAAATTATTTACTTAAGCACTCTCCTCTCGAAGGCCATCCCGCTCGCTTTGTACTAACGAAAGTATTACGAAAAACAAACGACACGATCTAACATCTATTTTACAGAAACAAATATAAGTTAACACATAACCAAATGCTGTTATAGTTGTTGATGTAGTCCTTTCAAATACATTTGATTTTGTGTCTTTTCCTTTTTTTTTTTTTTTTTTTTCATTTATTTTTTTATACATAAATGTATTTCTTGTGTACACCTTTTTATTTTTTATTTAATTTTTATTTATTTTGATAATATTTTCTTTTCTCTCTAACTCTCTTTTTCTCTTTCTCTTTCTCTCTCTCTCTCTCTCTCTCTCTCTCTCTCTCTCTCTCATTTTCACACACATACACTCTAACTTCCATTCTTTCTATTTATCTTTCTTTCTCTCTCTTTTTGCATATTTATGCATATACATATATATTCTCTTGCCTTATATTTATCGCTTTAGATCTCGCTTTCTTCTTTACCATTTTTGTTTTTGCCTAACATTATATATAAATGTATATATATACAGGATACGATTTATGTCAAAGATATTTTAAATGTTTAAGTTTACGCTTATCTTGTATTTATACCTTACAACTATAACTTATAAATTGTGTAAGTTTTTCATACTTTTGATAACCATCCACCCACCACCACAGAATGGATGCCTGATAATAAATAATTCATTATTTTCATCCTGTCATCTGTAATGCTTGGAAGCATGTTACGCGGAGGCTCCAATAGCGTGAACATATATATATATATATATATATACTTGTTTAACGTGCTCGTTAACGAGATTCAGACTCCGTTTTGGCAATGGCTTTCTGATTGCTGTTCGTGTAATGCTATTAAAGTTATCCGATTGTAAAAACATAAAATATACATAATATAAGGAGCGTTAAATGTAGGTCGTTATGGGCGATATTTTTGTATGAAATAAAATTACTCATGGAAAACAAAAAATTTCGCTGTATGCTTCAAGGTAGGGTTTAAGAAAATGAACGAAACATTTGTATGTGAACAGAAAACTAATTCCGTTAGATCCGTCCGTTAATTCCGTCACAGATATACTCAATTTGAATGAGCGTACGTTTGTAAATAGCGAGGTAAAGCAAAAGAACCCTTTATAAATTCGTGCTTCCGATATGTCTCATTCATCGTGCGGTATAAGAACTTTCAACGATCTTTACTCTTTAATAAAGCATTGAATTTGTGTATGTATATATATATATACGTGTGTGTGTGTGTGTGTGTATGTATGTGTGTATATACGCGAGCGTTTACAAACAGCCTCAGTTAATATACGAGTTAGTCGTATGCCGCCTTCAATCATGCAGAGCGGAAAATTTGAAATCATGCTTCACGTTCCTCAGTTCTTTTCCAACTTGACTCATTTGATTAGCTATACACAGCTTTTTTAGTTACTACATGTTATAAAGAATCTAGGTGGTGGTGGTGGTGGTGGTGATGGTGGTGATGGTGGTGGTGGGTACATACAAATTCGCCCTAAGGCAAATACTGTCTCAATTGATTTGAAATAATTACTTTATATTTTTATATAATGGTTTTGCTTTACAGGTTTCGTTAAGAAATTAAAATTAAAGCTTAGCATAAAGTTTGAATTGTTTATAAGTAAATTTTTTTTATATATATATATATATATTAATTTTTGTTTTTCATTTTTATAAATTTAGCATAGCAAGTTGTTGTTGCTATGATAATGTTACGTTTTTTTTTATTTTTATAGATAATAGTAAATAATATATAGTTTAGATTAAGAATTGTGTTTTTCTTATTTTATTTAAAGAAAAATTGTATTAAAAATATGCAACAAATTTGTTAAACTTAATGATAGCTGATTAATACTTTGTACAGAGATTAAAAAAAAAAAAAAAAAAAAAAAAAATTAAAAAAAAATAAAAAAATTAAATAAAACAAGTGATTATTTAATGTTGTTAATTTCATTATTATTATTATTATTATTATTGTTATTGTTATTGTTATTATTATCATTGTTATTAATAGTTTAATTTAAATTTGAATTTTAATAAAAACGAAACCCTTTGATTAAGACCCTATTTAACAGAAAGTTTGTAAATTTTATAAAAATGTTTTTGTCAACAGTTTATTTTTCTTCTTCTTCTTCTTCGTCTTCTTCTTGTTTTTTTTTTTTTTTAACTTTAAATCACATTTCATTGTTTTTCAAATCGTTTCTGTGTTAAGCATGTTCGTTTCCAAAATTCCAGATTCCGATTTTTAAACTTTTTTTTTTTTTTTTCATTTCAATTTAACATATGTATTTTTATATTTTCTTTTTAAAGGCTAATAAGTTTTATTTCTTTAGTTGTTGTTCTTTTAGTAAGGATTTCTTAAGGGAAAATTTTTAATCATTAAAAGTTTTAATTAATGTATTTTTAAGAATAATTGTTTTTCAAGTTATTATTTAGTGATGCTATTTACAAAATAAAAACGAATTTTTTTTTTTTTTTTTTTTTTATACCACTTCCTATATAAATAACTTTTATTTAATTTTCTTCCATTAAAAATTTTAAATTTCGAATTGTTCTAAATATTTCATTCAACAATTTTAAAGTTGTTGATTTTCTTTTTTCATTTTTTTTGTTTTTTGTTTTGTTTTTACACACACAAAGACATGATTTTTTCTATTTACAATTATTTCAATTATTTTTGAAGCAGATTTCTTTGAAATGGTGTAGAATTAGCGAATGATGTGAATTCTTGTTGTTACATTAATTAATTAATTAATATATATATATATATATATATTTTATTTTAATATACAACTTAGTCGAATAGCGAAGCCAAAATGTCCTCATTGTTGTTGTTATTACTTGAACCACTGGAAGGCGGTGTATTTAAATCGGGCTGTGGTTCCAAATATGATAAAATCTCTAATGTGTCGACATCGGAAAGTAGCTAAAAAAGGTTTGAATAGAAAAGAAATTGCATTTTTGTTAAATAAAAAAAAAAAAAAAGAAGAACATGAAAATTTAATAAATGAATGAATGTTGTAGTCGGTCAAACCTGATAGTTCAATTCCCCTCCCATTTCATGAACATTTCTATGAAACCTCTTATGCCATGATTTTCGTATAAGTGCTTATGTAAAATTTTCGATATATTTTTGTCAAGTCGATATATTTAGACATAGCGGGCGTATATATCTGATCTGAACCGTTCCGGGTTCAAACGGGTTATTTAACAGAGTTTAATCAGAAAATCCATCCCGGTTCTTCTAAATTTCGCTGAAAAACATTCAAAATTGCAAGAGTTTTCCATATATAAACACCTTCATCGAAATTTATTGATAATTGAAGTTGGGTTGATTATATGAAGTTGGATTCAAAGTATTTGGCCGATTCGGTACAGAGTGTATTTTAAGTTGGCATTCAACTTAAACCTTAACAACCCCTACTTACTAAATTAAAAAATTGCAATCATTTTTTGCTTTAAGCGCAAGTTGCCACTTGGATCATGTTGTACCGACCCACATATCAATATCAGGTAAATAATTGTCGATTATAGTGAAGATATCGTTGCGTATGAACAATGTTTTCATAATATAATTAATACAATCATAGCCAGTGAGTGACTGCTGTTAAGTTTAAATTTATAATGACAACTATAACAACAACATAGTTTAGAATGAGATCATGTTTTCTTTTCTGATCTCAATTGTCATAATATTCATAATATACACAATAATAGAGATAATAAACGTACATACGTACATATAATACGATATATAGAAAAAAAAAAAAAAAAACTATATATATACATATATATGTATCTATATATATGTATATATGACTGATACTTGGCAACCTAACAACATCTATATATTGATTTCAACGGACTAAACATATCTTTCTTTGTTGCAAAAATTCTCAAGACAATAAAATAAAATAGATGTAGCGCGCATCTAAAAGCATCTATGTCGAATTTCATCGAGTTTACAAAAGCAATTAAAAACCAAGTACGGACAAACGGGCAGACTTGCTTCGTTGGACGACGATTGAAAGTCGCTGCTGGCCATAATAAATTTTTACAACTTAATGGTCCTGAGACTTACATTCAAATCATTGGCGGCATCAGGATTTTCGAGATTAGCATCGAAATTGTTTAACTCCACATTTAGATCACTCTCATTGAGATTTACCAAACCGGTGGGCTGCGAGTTTATTAACGAATTAATAATTTGCTCTTGTTGTGACTGTTGCTGTTGTTTTTGCTGTTGTTGCTGTTGCTGTTGTTGTTGTTGTTGTTGTTGCTGCTGCTGCTGCTGATCTTGTGCCGCATTGCCGCCACCGCTCATGCGATTATTAGGTGTACCTGGGGTTTGTGGTGAATTATGGCTGCTGACATTATTGCCCGCATTGCCATTTGGAGTACCCCCGTTCAAAGGCTCATTATGAGCCGAACTTACGGATGGCGGTCCGCCTGGAGTCATAGGATGGCTAGCACCGCCTGGCGTATGGGGTGTATGCGGCGTATGCGGCATCTGTGCGTCAAAACAAAAAAATAATAGTATCATTTGATCGAGAATAATAAATAACGATCAAAGGCAACAAAACAATTCTTTTACAAGTTTTGACGTACTTGATCGTTAAGTGACTTCTCCATAGCATTTAATTGATCCAGCGGTTCATTCAAATGTGTTAAAGAATTATTTGTCTGTTGCTGGCTAGGATCATTTTGTTGTTGTTGCTGCTGTTGTTGTTGTTGCTGCTGCTGCTGCTGCTGCTGCTGTTGCTGTTGTTGTTGTATATCACCCGTGACTTGAGAATTATTGAAACTATCGAAATTACTGCGGTTAGATACCCTATAAGCGCGTGAATAAAACATTATTCATAATTTTGATGGAAAGAAGAAAACAAAATTAAATAAAAAAACTTACACTTGCCCTGTATTACCCGCCCCGCCGCCGCTCATCATATTGCCGCTTGCAATGGAATTCATATCGTGACTATTGTAGGGACTCATTGCTTGCGTGCTGTCCCAGATTGGTAATTGTGTCGAACCCGGTGACATCACTTTAGTAATATCATCAGAGAAATTCTCTTGTTTGATAGTAGGCAAATTTAAATTGCTGCCGCCAACGTTCGCTCCCGAATTAGTAGTTGAGGAGTTAAGATTATTGCCAGCTGAGCTATTGCCGCCGTTATTATTGCTACCCGTTGTTCCGCCTTGCAATGCCCGCCAATTAGCCGAAGAGTCGATAATCACTTCTTCCACGTCGCTGGTACTTAGCGTATTTAATATGGCCCAGTAATACTGATCGATTTCTAGGCTTTCGGTAAGGGCGGGTTTATTGCATTCAGGGCAACGCCATGTGCCACGTTCGCAATTCATCATTAAATAGGCTTCTAGATCGAAGCACTGTATGTGGTTGCATTCTAGACCACGTGCCGGTAAACGTATTCGAGTTTTCATAATCGGACATTTCAATGAGATCTTAACGCATTTGTTGGGATCCGCGTTCATACTGTTAGGGCCATTATTGCTAGTATTATCGGGATTTTGAGTGAAATTGCGCTTAATCTTCGCTACGCTATGCTCCAACGGTAAGAGATTGCGTTTATGCAAACCTTGCATTACCTGACGTACGGAGGGTCGATGGACTAGTTGCAACACAAACAAGTGGGACTAAAATAAAATTTTTTCTTTTACATCTTCGGAGATATGAAAATTGATTTACATTGAACTTACACAACAGCAGGAACTAGCGGTTAATTGCAAGGTATTACGTCCCGGCTGACAAACCGATTTTAAATACAAAGGTCTTAAAGCTTGGCCGGTCTTTTCAGAACGTTCAATATTCAAGGGTGTTGCATTAGCCGAAACTGTAACCGTGTGCGGCCAATTGGTATTCATTTGGCGATCATCTTGATGGAAACATTTCAGCTGAAGTTCCAAATCCGATCTAAAAAATTTGCATAACATGAAGAAAGGAAAAATGTTATGAGAAGAATTTTATACATATTATCATCTACATATGTTTAAGTAGAAGTTGTAACAGTATAAATGCTCTTTCTGCCCAACGGATAAAGCTGTCAGTTTAATTAAGTGACTTACCGGCACATCAACGTATTGTAGACGTTTTGTTTAAGATGAAAAACATGATTGCTTACGGACAGATTATGCAATAATCGGAACGGTGTAAGTATAATGCCATCACGTACCGGGAATGTCAGTCTCATTTCTTCAGCTAAAAAAAAAGTTGTTTTTGTTAATAATTTAGAATAAAAGAATTTTCGAAAAGTGTTGCGTCTTCGAAAAGTGAAGCACTTACAATTGTCCATTTGTGGTTTAATGTCGGGATTTGGACTGACGTAGGGTACACTGCAGGCGGGCGTTAACGGAGGCGTTGGATTGCCAGGAACTGGACTATGTTGGTAATTTTGTTGAAAACTATATTAAGATATAATGATAAAGCATTTCAATATATGTCTGAAAATTGTATTAATTCTTATCGTACCCTGGATTTTGATAGGGATTCGAAGAGCTTGAGACAGAGCCGGGACCAGCCGGACACATGGTGTTAGATGAATTGCTACCAACCATGCTCATGTTGCTTTGCGCACCCGGATAGAATTGTGGCTGTTGTGAGTGATGCGATTGTGAGCCATAACCTCCGTTCGGTCCGCCTTGCGGCATAAAACGTTGCATGGAATTCATACAGCCAGGCCCCATACCGCCGGGTCCCATACCGTTTCCAGCACCCATACCGTTCGGTCCCATAACGCCGCCCGGTCCCATACCCGGACCCATAACAACGCCTGGCCCTAAGCTACCTGGACCCATACATCCCATACCAGCACCATTACCTGGGCGACCATAGCCACCCATAGGACCTGTTCGACTGTAAGCACTAGCTTGCATTGGTAACGGTACACCACCGCCTCCCTGAGGATGCATTTGACTGCCACTACCATATGGCATCCCACCTTGTTGCTGAGAAATACTTTGCGAACTTGCACTTATCGGATAAATACCAGCCCTTTTCTGTGCGGCATGCATTTGAGGATTCGGATATGGAGCCATACGCCGCTGATTGTAACCACCATTAGCCATCCCTTGTATTTTAGCCATGGGATTCATTGAATTCATTTGCTGCTGCTGCTGCTGTTGCTGCAACGACATGGCACCACTGACGCCGCTGGGTCCCATGCCAGGCTGCATGCCACCCATGCCGCTCATAGACATATTTTGCATTTGATTCATGGGCGTAATCTGTAAAAATATGAAAAAAAAAAAAAAAACAATGAAATATTAAACGAAGACGAAGAAATTATAACTCTCGCGTGTACTTTACGTTCATTTAGATAAAAATTATTTTATTTTAATATATATATAAAAAAAAAAAAAAAGGTTTTCAGTTAAATTCGGTTGAAAGTAACGAAATGTGTTTACTAGAATCCATAAGAACTTAATATTTCAATCGAATTTCGCATTATAAAAGTAGTCGTTACGCTCTTAGCATGCTTGAACGCGAATGACTTTTCATAGAGAGATCCACTATAATGTTATAGGTATGCATACAATTGAAAATTGTTTCACTTGTTTTAATGGCGTATAAAATTATCCTTGAAAAAATAATATCTTACGGATGTTTGTTTTCATCTTTAAAAAAAAAAAAAAAACCATTTGAAAAATATTCGATCAACTCGAAGCAAAGGTTAACTTATCTCGTCTCTTACGTTCACTGCATGCACAAGCAAGAAAGTCATTATTTACTGCGTTTCCCGCAAATCGAAAAGACATTTCCGCCCTTTTAGGGCACTAGCAAGCATGCTTATGATCAGTTTATGATTAAAGGGAAACGAACTAGGAACGTGAAGATGCAATAAAGGATGATCATGATCAACAATTGATTTCTATTAATAGTAAGTTAAAAAAAAAAAAATAAATAAATTAACAAAGTTTAAGTGAAATTCGTCTTAATATCGAGATGATTCCATAATTCCAGACAATTTGACATTTCGGCTATCGTTGGCATTTTAGAATAAAAGTTCATGGAGCTCAGAATTTACAGAATTCGTTACCTATTCATAAATTTTTATCGCTGTGTGCTACGACTTGCACTTGCTGTTGTCGTTGTCGTTGTTGTTAGCATGTGGCAAATAATTAAAATTGTTATTGAAAAATATTAAGCAAAAAAACAAAAAAGCAAATGTACGAATCGTACATGCATACAAACATAAACATGTAACTAACTATATATACATATTTATTTATATATATATAATGAAACGTTTTTTTTTTTTATATACAAATATACCTCCTCTTTATATAAAGGTAGTGCATGAGTACAATGCATTTAAAAAACAACATCAACAACGACTGAAGGCAATGTAGTGAAATAATATTAAGTTTTGTTTCTCTTCTGTTTTTTATTCTTTTTTTCTTTTTTTTTTTACAATTTAATTTCTTATCGCTCTCTCTCTCTCTCTCTCTCCTTCTTTCTAACACCCTTTTTCCATCTCATATTCTCGCTTTTCTTTGCCCCATGCATCTGTCCCACTCACGCGCAATTGCAGTGCAGTACGTGTGCAACACGATATACAAACAAACAGACAAAGTAATAGATTGTATATCATTCCAATGATTTGCATACGTTACAAACTGCGCTTTTGTAATTCGATGTGTGTGTGTGTGTGTGTGTGTGTGTGTGTGTACGCTTGTCCAAGTATGTATTCGTGTAGACAATTGTTTAAGAGTTTCAGGCAAATGTGAAATGAAAAAAAATATAAAAAAAAAAAAAATTAAAAAAAAAGAAAAAACTTTAAACTTTATATGTATGTGTGAAAAATAAAAATTACACGATTACACGATTACCAAACGAGTACTTTAAAGTCTCTTTTTGTCGAAGTGAAGGGTTTTCGTCTACTGTTTGGCGTGTGTTTAACTTAGTATGTGTGGGCAAGTATATTTGTTTATATCTGCTTGTGCTTCCATGTATATGTGTGTGCATAGATATTAATTATATAAAATATGGCATAAAAACTCATTATGATTGTATATCTCGGCTTTGGGGTGAACAGAAGAAGGAAAAAAATAAAAAGAAAAACAAATAAATAAATAATAAAAAAAAAAACAATAAAATAACCGTTGTTTTAAAAAAAAAAAAAAAAAAAAAAAAAAACAAAAAAAGTGCGATTATCATGTTGCTGCATATAGTTGATGTTATTGTAATTGTTAAGTGAATAATTGCTTAATTGTTAATATATTGAAATGTTTTTTTTTTTTCTTTTTCTTAATTGTGACGTCTTTTCTTGTACAACGTTTTCTGCTCAGCGTATGCTTACAGTTAGTTACAAAAAGATTAACTAATTTATATGGCTATACCACGCGTAGGTATGCGATTTATCGTCGTTCACTTATCAATAGTGAAGAGTTAACTAAGAGTGGAAATAATGAGCGTCAAGTGTCCATGAAACACATACGCATTTTATTAGTACTCATAATGAAGATTGCCTAATAGTATGCTATAGATATTTTTAACTTATAGAAAAGAAATAAAGAAATAAAATTATATAAAGCGATTTTATTTACAATATGATTGAGAAAAACACATCATGGGTTACGCGCGCTTGATATAATCACTTTCTGATCGATCAACGAAGAAAATAATGAATTAGTTTAAATTTGTTATTTGCAAGAAGCCTTATGCAGACTATTTCGAGTATTATATAATATATAACCGGGGGAAAGTTATTGATCGAGAAAATAATGTGTTGGCTTCATGTTTAATATTTAATAATTATTCATGTATTTATATAATCGTAATGCGCGATATATTATATAATTTTTCTTTGATTTTCCCTCTTCTCTTCTATTAATCGCTTAAGTTTACTTGCCATGTCTCTTGAGTTATCGCCATTTTCTATCTTTCGATAGACGACAGTTATTTAATTGCTAAAATCTGTAATATATGTCTATGTGATCGTTAATAACAATTAATTAATTATTTTGTTATGTTTTGATCACATAAAAAAAAAATAAAGCTTGATTGAAATTGCACTTCTCTCTTGCTAAATTCAAGTCCGGGAGCTTTAATTGATATAAGAAAAATGCCTCTAAGCAATACGGATGGTGATCTCCGACTCCGTGCAGCTTAGCGAATTCACACTTTCATGTCGACAACTAAAGGCATAAAAGCATATCTGCAAAATTGTATTAACAGCTATGCAAAATAAACTTCTCAAGCGGAGCTACGTTCATATGTAATGATGTTGATGTTGAAGTTCTTTAACCAACATTGATTAAAACTGAATGCAATTTATTAAAATGTTCTTTTCTTTTACTTATCTGTGCATGTATTTCTAAATCAATGATTTTTTACGTTGTCACCATTTTTTATGGAAGATGCGACATTGCGATGCCAATTGCAACTTCTTATTGTTATTGCTATTGCAGTTGTTGTTGTTGTTGTTGTTGCTGTTGTTTTTATTAATTGTGTCATGATTGATTTCATTAATTATGGTGTCATTATTATTCATATGTATACAGATATAAATTGCAACATACAGTGGCTGTAGAAAAATAATTCAAACTTAGAACACTACACATCACTCAATGAATAATGTTGATGTTATTATATAGTAACATTAACAGCAAATAGCAACAAAAACAAAAAAAAAAAGAAAAAGGTTTTAGCATGAAGTCATCTTTGTGAATAACTTTAAAGGCTAATATTAAGTATTTTCTAAGATTTCTATATAAACATACACACATATATTTATCAATTAAGGAAAAGAAAAAAGAAAAAAAACGAAAAAAATGGTTTCCATGGCGGTTGCAACACCTCTTTTGTGCTCTATTCTTTTGTTCATTTCAATCATCGATAAATTTTGCGTTAATTATAAATAATTATATGTATATGTTAATGTAAGCTTAAATATGCACTTGTGTGTATATGCATATTTGATATACGTACATACATATCTATATAGGTATATAGGTATATATATTTATATGATAAAGATATATATATATATGTATATATATATACATATATGGGTATGTATGTACTAGGTAGTTCAGAAATTTCTTGCAGTCTTTCCCGACGCCAGGTTAAAATAGCTTTTTACAGGTAGTTAGACAGGTAATTATGGTCAAAGCTGTGTACAGTTATGTAGAGCAGGCTTATGTCTGTCTTGTACAAAGCTTTCAACGAGAATGGTTGTTCTATAGCAGTCAGATTTAGTTTTATAAACTGAACTTCAAAGTGCGCATATAGAGACATAGGTGCCGCGTATAGAAACAATGCTGTAAGTGGTTGAATGCATGTTAAAATTACTTTGTGAAATTTCGTTCTGGAAATTTTTCAGTGAAAGTTTTCTACAGCATTCTGTTAGGCCCAATAGCATTGCTGACCACCAACTATGATGGTTATGATTGAAGTTGATCAATACATAACGCTTCGAAAGGTTGCAGATAAACTTAATTTACCCAAATCCACAAATTTATTCCTTCTGTACATAAAAAAAAAAAAAAAAAAAAAGAAAGTTATTTCATTTCGTAGTGAAAAACGGCAAGAAATTTCCGCACTCCCCAATATTAATCGCACATGAATAATTCCTTTAAAGGCAATTACTGATAGACAGTTCATAAGCATTAGGTATAGTCACCAAACTGCAATTGTTTCACAATTTAAGCAAAACTATTTTAATATCTTTATACTCATCACGGATGAATGTATTAATTGTCTTTTCGTGTGTTATATATACATCTATATGTTTATGTATACATGGGTACATAAATATATATATATATATATATATATATATATGAGCCGATAATCTTGGTTGATAGTGCTCATCCTATTTGTGTAGTTCCAGAATTTATTTTTTTGGTCTGAATAATAAAAATAATAATAATAATGATGTACACATATGAATTTATCCGTCCGTTAGTTGGTATCATGACTATAATGGGTACCAAACGGTCGAATAGAGATATGAAGCGAAACGATCTTTTTTATTTCGCCAGTGTTTTCACGTTGAAACGCGAATTTGAAATTAAGTAAACTTAACAGAGAGAGAGAGACAGAGACAGAGAAAGAGAGAGAGAGAGAGAGAGACAAACAGAAAGCGAGAGAGAGAGAGAGAGAGAGAGAACGAGGGACTGAAATCACCTGTTTTGCTTAACAGCACTTTTAATAACAGATGTTTCTTTAGCTTTAGATATTCTCTCTGGAGTTGAGAATGAAGAATATATCAATGTTACGTTTTAAGTCGGTAACGAATCTATGCACGAATTCGTAGCGAATATAGAGTATGTTTGAGGCGTACAATTTTCGTTACTGTTCTGAAAAAATATATCAAAAATAGTTAATTGAAATGTCAACATTGATTAAGTGGCTTGATGTGACAACCAACGCTCGCGTAGAGCGTTTAATTCCTAATATTAAGTGTGTCTTTTCCTTCACAGTTAAAGGGCCGCGCCTAACAAGGAACACTTGAAGAAACCGAGAGCGATATTTGTCGGAATTTCGTTTAAAGAAAGGCGCAATATTTAAATTTTCTAAACAAAGATATGCAGCATATAAGTTTGTGCAGAGTATAAGTTTCAGGGTGTTCTGTGGTGAGGCATGAAGTGAATTCATCGCCTTCGCTTAGGATTGGATCGGGTATAGAAATAAAAAAAATTGCGTTTCGCAATCGATCCTTTTCATTATAACTTACTTGATGATGCCTCGCTGAGGTTGTCGTTGGTCCTGTGACACTACCACCATAGCCAAGCATGCCGCCGTTCATTTGGCTAGCAGCATTGCCTCCGCCCATTTGATTCATTTGCATGCTGGCAGATGCTGAATTGGAGCCTGACATGGGACCCATTGCCGCTGGATTCATGCCACCAGGGCCACCACCGACACCGTTACCATTCATATACTGATGCGCATGCTGAGATTGTGGGCCCATACCCATCATACTATTATTAGCGCCTGGGTGCATACCACCCATCTGTCAAAAATTAAAGCAAACGTATTTTATGTAATTTTTAAAAATTTTACATAACCAAAAAACAAATCGACAAATTTATCTACGACTTTCACATACACAATACAAAAGCAGATATTAAAAACGCCTTTCCCCAACCTTACAAGCACTCATAGTCAATGAAATTTCGAACTGAATAAAAGTTATATAGATGCTTGTTCGCCTTCTTCTGTCTTTTTCTTTTCTATCTCTTCATTGAGACCGTATTAGTATAAAAATCTTTTCAATCACTTTTTCCAATTATGTCCCGTATTATTATGCATGTGGAACCAAGGAAAACATGCTTAATGGGCTCTTTATTTGAAAAGCACTATTTTTAAATCGAAGACAGTGAAAGGAACAAAAGTGAAAGATTTTTTTCGCATCCGAAATGTCGTATGTAAAATGTCTAAAGGTCCAATAATTATTTTGATTGCAAGTAGGTAGGAAAAGTACACCATTTTGCTTTTTTCGAATTTTGAAAACGCATCTAATATGAAGTAGGAAGAGATTAAAGGCGTAAGGAAACGATTCCTTATAATAATTGCTTGCAGACTCATTACATTTTGCGTTAAATTTTGTAGGTTCGTAGGTTATGTTCATTGCAGTCTGAATTTCGGTTTAGGATTTTTCGATTTTTCCTTTTTAATATACATTTCTTGGGGGAATAATTACATAATTTTGCTTACATACCTGACTATAACCACTCATAGCATCCATGTTGGCTTGTTGAGCACCAGTGGCTGTTACCATAGTATTATAACTATTGCTGTTGTTGAGAGAATTTCCGGAACCTACAGCGGATACCGGAGATGTATGCGAGGAGGGAGAGGAAACTGTTAGACCAACACTACTGCCAATGCTAAGATTACTACCGCTGACAGCGGCACCACCTACTTCACGACTAGGTAATAATAGGCGCTCGTTTGCCGCTACCGATGATGTTGAGGTAAATTCTGAATTCGGTCCAAACGTGTTATTCAGCGTACGCAAACTATCCGGTTCGCTTAAAAATGAACCGCCACTGTTCGGATAGCTGCTGCCATGATTTAATAAATTTTGCTGATGATGATGAAAACCTGGCTGCTGTTGGTGTTGCTGTTGTTGTTGAAAATAGAATTGTTGTTGCTGCTGGAATTGTTGCTGCTGCGAGTCGGTTGTATAACTGCCAGTTGGTGAAATTTGGCCCCCTAAGGCTGGAGCCCTTGAGGAGCCTGCTTGGCCATTCATTTCATCATTTTTTCTGTAACATAAACGATAACAAGGACACGGTGAATAAAAATCGGGATTTGTATAAAATTTAGAAGACAGTTTGATAGGTTTTTCTTTTCTATAGTTGCAAAGGAAAGAAAATTTCAAAATTTGTTTTTTATTAAAGGAAAATTTTTTTGGAATTTGTTTTTTTTTCTTTTTTTTCTTTTTAATATATTTAAAAAAGGCAGTGTAGTAAGAAAAGGCGAAAATTCTATTTTCAAAACAATAAATCATTTCAAACTTTTTTCAGGGATGTATATTAAATATATACTATGTATATATATATATATATATATATATATATATTATTCATTAAAAAAAAAAAAAAAAAAGGAAATAAATAAAAAAATAAAATCATTTTTGAGAAAACAAAAAGAAGAAAAGTGCTAGTTAAGTTTGTAAAAGTATGTGTTGATTAACTCGAATACACCTGTTGTTTTTAACACGCGCTACATTTAACATTTTCAACACATGTGAGTAATTTTTTGTAAACTGTTTAAAGGATGCATTCTTAACTTACGAGTATGTGTATGTGTTGTCATATGCATTTGATAAGTAGCAGCTGAATTTTTTTTTGTTTTTTTTTGTTTAAATATCATCTGCGTTTTTTTTAAAGGTGTATGTCGCGTTATTTTGAAAATTCATCTTAATTTGCTGTGCTCAGTCTTTAACAAGCATTATAATCAAGTTGATGTTGAAGGTTGTGCTCTTGTTTAAAGTTACCTAGCCATGATGGAGTAGTATATGAATGCATAGGTGTGCTTGTTGTATTCATTCAAAGCGCATCTTGTAGCGACACAATATAACGAAAAATATTTAGGCTTACACGAACAGCTGAGAGTTTTATTTATTTATTTATTTCTTTTTTTTTTTTTGGGAATTTTTTTCTTAAATTTTTAGCCGGTCAGGGGCATCCTGCATATCATTGCAGTAAAACCAAATAACGCAAGGTGCACTAAAAATATTCATTCTGCCTTTTGGTCGGATATTTGTGCAAACGAGTTTGTTGATGCCAGCATTTACATACAAATGTAGAAAGGCAAGGAAGAAAAAAAAAAAAAAAAAAAAAAAAAAGAAAAGGTGAAAAAAGTGAGGTTATTTTTGGTTAAATTCGAGTATTCTGTTCAAGTGCGGATCTGTTTTAAAAGCAACGAGTTTTCGTTACGCTTTAAATGCATTTTTTATTTTTCATTTTTTGTTGCCATATAGACACAGAAAATTGTATAGAACGGGCCTATACGGATTTTTTGCAGGGCCTCGTGGTGATGTTACTTAATACCAATTTAAGCTATCGATTGGACAAATACGCTAATACTTTGAACTATCTGCCTATCATATGCCTAACGTTTTGCCCAAAATCTTTTGGTAGAAATTTTAAATATTTTGAATAAATTATTGTAACCCATAATTACGAACATCTTGCCAATAACTGTCTCATCATCATAAACCTGTGCTATATATACATTAAGTATAATATCAACTTCCATTTCGAATATCCAGTAAGTAGTACGCTTTAGAGATCCAAAAATTACAGCAACACTTATAGGTAGACATTGCATCTTTTAAGGGCTCGAGAATAAACCCGAAATGTTAATGTATTTAAAATGATTGATTAAAATGAAATGAGTTTACGAATAAAACTGATATTTTCACCCGACATAACCAGGAATCAATCGTCAAAGTCGCACAAACTGAACGGTTATATTTAAATTTGGGGAAAACGTGTACCTTGATTGGATAGATCACCATCCGTCCAAACACATTTCCCTTTAAACATAACTAATCATTAAGTTATGAAGTCTATATAAGTTTCTATGGAAATGATTTCGAGCATTCTATCGGTATATCATTTTTTACAGATATGTTCGCTAAAGTGAGAATGAGTTACGTTTAGTTAAGAAAATGAATTCAAATCTATATCCAAGTTATGTTCGCTTTTAAGATGGGCATAACGAAAATGTTCCTTTCACAGGATATCTATACGTGAACACAAGTGCACCTTTTTTTGGTTTGTTTCAATACCATGAACGTTAATCAACGTCGTATTAATCTATTATATATATGTTCGGTTAAAAAAGTACCCGGATTTATAAAAAATCAAACACTTTTCAAACGCTATTCGTCAAAGGGAATTTCTATTTAAATATTCCCATACAACTGAAATGTTACTTAACTTTAGACTCATCAAATATTAGTCGAAAGATCGCAGGTCGATTCGGAAGATATGATGGCGTCGTTCTAATGTCAATTTTTTCATTGAGTTCAGGGTTGACATTCGATCGCTGAATACAGCGAATAGAGTCTTCAAGTATTTTATGGTCCTCCGCTGCGTAATGAAACATGTTTAGTGAAAAATTTCTTCGACGATAAAAATTTCATCTAAAGCATAGACTTTTCGGAAAACGGAATCGAGTATAACTGGCCTAAACTACTGAAAAGGTAAAAGTCGGTATTATTGGAATCTAGGGCTCTAGCAACTCAAATACTGATTACTGATTAAGTGAAATTTTTGAATACACGGTTTTCGGTACGATTCAGATATTATGTATATATACATTATATATGCATACATATGTACACATTATATATATATATATATATATATATATATATTATATTTATAGTGGATCTATAGAGTATTTCTAAAAGTTGTATAGAAGATGTAGGCAAAATTTGATGACAATTTCATGGAATTAAATTTAGTTGTTCGCTACACTCAAGCATGCTGTTTACGTATCCGCAGTAATGTACGTGGGCGTGTGAACGTATTAGAATTTGTAACAATTGATGGGCGGTTACATCAACACGATACCGCAATCAAGGCGAGGAAAATTTCTTATTGGGATTTTATTACACGAATGGATAAATGTCTACTCATTAGTCTGGACATTTACCTAACACGTATCGAAAATGCATGATTTTGATTACAATGATTGATCGAAATAAATGCTTATATGTATATACTTATATCATTCGGATGTTTATAACACCAATTGACTGCGATTAATAGGCTATTTTTCGTGAAAGAGAAAATTGAATATTAAAAGTAATCGATTGCACGATTGTGTGCTGATATGCCTAAGCACTTGTCGCCAATATCCTTTAAAGATATGCACAAAGTATTTATATTCGTGCGTGATTCGCGAAAGTCGATGTAAAGTGATTTGTGTTATAGGGGGTATGAATGGAGGTTTGTGCGCTAATTGATATAAAATCTGAACTATGATGTCAGTCATAGAGGTCAAGGCTTTCAACATTGACAGTGAGTGTGTGGGAGAAAGACGAGTTTGTTCTTATTGTTAACTGCCTGCAGGATCAGATACCAGGTGCTTGTGGAGCATTTCATGATATCAGACATAGCATGTTGCTTTGAGCTAAAGTAAGTTCGCAAAAATCCTTAAATATGAGGATTAGAAGCTTAAGCAAGTACAATAGACTTTTTAGATTAGATGGACATCCTATATACCTATATACCTAATATACCACTACAATGCAATACAATATAGAATACTGCTAAATACTATTCAATTTTGTGTAAGTAATTAATGTGAAATAAGTAAAAAACGCTACCGTGGGTCACGGCCCGCCATTAAATGCCTTATACAATTTAACTGAAAAGCAATTATTTATATAATGCCTATTCAAAATAGGCGCTTTTTGTGGAAAATAGTCGAACAAGTGGTTCGATCGGAATCATCTGCAACAGTATTCGTGTTTGGGTCAAACTAAATTAAAGTTTCATTAAAAAAAATATCTAAAAAATTGCGATCTGTAGGTTGAACACAAGAATACAGAGCGGACCGACGGAAAGACAAGCTTGGATCGATTCAGTATTTGATTGTAAATTGAGCGCTATAATAAATGATGTAATTATTTCTACTTCTTCTAGAACGGTGCATACATGCGCACAAACATAATATACTCTTGTACAAAAAGTAGTGTAGAGTATAAATGCTCTCGAAAATTAAATAAAACTTTATTGCATTGCTTCGAAAAGCAGTATAAAACAGCATAAGTCGTTTAAGCACATTATTCGTTTCATTGCACAGTTCGTTTAGAGGAATGACTCGCTTAACTGTACTATTTGAACTATGAGCTCCTTTTTAACTATGCGTTTTTCAAATCTTATCTCTTGTGTGTATATCTAAATCAATGCCCTGAAAACTTAGACAAGTTGCCAGTTAGCTTTTTCTTGCAGTTGTTTGGCCGTCTTTTAAGCTTTTGTTCAAATATCGACAACTTTTATCGATTGCAACGTTTTATGGTAATTAAAATGTTTACGAAATTAACAATTAGGTAAGTAAGCAAGAAGTATAGAAATCAGTAGGGCTTTGGTTTTTTTTTTTTTTTTTTTTTTGAGCTCAAAAAAAATGAGCACAGCATTCTTGCTATTTTGTTATCTTTCTATTGCTGATTGTTTACTGCAACTTTATTTATTTTGCAGTGAATCTAAGAAAATGTGAAAAAAATCATTTCATTTTAGACCTTCATAGTTTTAAAGGCGTCGAAAAAAATTTGCACAAATATTAGTTTGATTTGATTAAAAGTGTATCGTGACTTTGTAAATTATTATAATGATTTCTTGCAGTTGACTCGCCCTTTCATGTGTAAATATCAATGATTTTACGAATGTTTTGTTAATGTGTAAATATGAACACCAAGTCGTAAATGCATATATTCAAAATTTCGCTATACACACACCATATAAAGAGGTCACTGACACCCATATAACGTGTTATAGTTAAATTTCGAAATTATAACGTAATATATAAAAAAAAAAAAAAAAATTAAGACGCATTTCATTCATAGTTACTTTCTACACGATTTCTACATTATTATTACGAGGCGAGGAAGCGAAAGGCGATGAAGTAAGAGATGAAGAAAAGCATACATAATACAATTGACATTTTTTCGCCATATTGTCATTTCATCTAATTTTTTTTTTTTTTTTTTTTTTTTGCAAGTAATATTTTTTTGTTACTCTGTTCG